TGTGCAGACTCCCCTCCGTGCTCAGGGCCCTGGGGGGGGTGTCCCTCAAGATGGGACCCCCACCCTGGCATCCCCCTCGCAGGGCTGGAGCCAGGGACACCGCCGGCCCCCACCAGGCTGGGGGGGGCTGGAGGGGTAAGAAGAAAATATTGCAAAAATGGACGGGGAGAGGAGCTGTGGACGCTGCAGCTGGAGGGGCTGCCTGCCCTGCCTGCGAGGGCAAGAGCCCAGGGTGCCCCCCGCCCCCGCCTGGCAGCTCCCCCACGAGCATCTGGGCAGAGCCTCAGAAGTCCAAGGGTGTGAAGTCCCCAAAGTCACAGTCAAAGAGCTCGCTGATGCCCTCACCCTCCTCCAGGCCAAAGTGGTAGTCCTGCGCCTGCGGTGGCGACAGGTTGATGAACTCGTCCGCCAAGAAACCCGAAAAATCCTCCCTGCTCTGCTCCAGGAGCGCGTCCATGGAGGCCAGCGGCGAGAGGCTCACCTCCTCTGCCGGGCACTTGCTGGGCAGCGCACTCGTCTCCGGCAGCAGTGTCTCTGCGGGGATGGGAAGCAGCTGTAAATCCCACAATACTTGCCAAAACCCCCCAAAAAGCAGGTTTTGGCTATGCAGGAGAACCTGCCTTCCCCCCTCCCTGCCTTGCTGAGGTGCCCAAGCATCACCCCAGCTCCTTGCTTGTGCTGACAGCAGAGGGGCTCACAGCTGCAAATGCAGCAAGAGCCCCACGCCAGAGCCACTGTGCCATCACGCCAGCCCCCCTGTCCCCAGCCCCGGCTGCCCACCTTGCTCTCCAGGCAGCAGCGGCATGTTCACATCCTGGGTGGGATGCAGGAGCGGGGAGGCTCTGGGCTGCGAATGGCCAGGGGACGATTCCTCTGCGGGGGCTTTGAAGGGGCTCTTGACAGGGCTACAGACCCCCGAGCTGTCCTCGGGGCAGAGGAAGACATCGATGGGGCCCTGAGTGCTTCGCACAGAGACCTGGAAAGCCTGGGGAAAGGGAAGAGGAGTGAGACAAGGAGGCACAAGGATGCCCAGGGAGCCCGGGCTGGGCTTTGCTGAGGGCTGTGGAGACATGGGGAGCAGAGGGTGGCCCCAGCTCACCTCCGCTGGGTAAGAGACCTGCAACTGGGTCTCTGGGGGGGCTTTTGATAACCATCACCCTTGCTCCGAGGGGTCCACAATGCTGCGGAGATCCTGGCAGGTCACGTAGGCTGCGGTGCGGTTCTGGGGGGGCTTTGATAACCATCACCATTTGCTCCGAGGGGTCCACAATGCTGCGGAGATCCTGGCAGGTCACGTAGGCTGCGGTGCGATGTGTCAAGGAGCAGACACAGGGATGCTTTCATGAGGCAGCGGGGCAGGCAGCGAAACGCCCTGCCTGCAACGTGGCTGGGCTCACCACGGGGCTCGACCCCTTCCCCCCCCCCCAC